GGCGTCACAGCTCACAGCAACCTCCAACTCCTGGGCTTAAGCAATTCTCTTGCCTCAGCCTCCCAAGTAGCTGGGACTATAGGTGCCCACCACAGCACTGGCTATTTTTTGGTTATAGTTGTTATTCTTTGGCAGGCCTAGGCTGGATTCGAAACCATCAGCTCTGGTGTATGGGGCTGGTGCCCTAGCTGCTGAGCTACAGGTGCTGAGCCAGAATAGTTTTTTTTAGTTTATAAATTTTGGTGAATTTTAGACTTTATTTTCCAGTTTTCTCTGTTTTGTTGTCTCCCATACAGGGGTAATTCAGAACTTTTAGCAACAGACTATAGTTTTAACGGGGGAAGTTAAATCAGAGATTGTCATAAAGCCAGTGAGCTCACCCTGTGTTATGTGCACGAGGTAACAAAGCACACTTGGCAAAATAAAATATCTTAGATTTTAGTTAATGACCTGCAAAAGCAAAACTCACAGGTCTGTTTTAGAGTTTTAGCCATGTTTATTGTTTGGAGCTAAGGGTCTTTTAACTGACCTTGGAAATTGTTAGCTTCGTCAGGCAGGGCGTGAACTACCAAGGCCAGAGTGAGACCAGGACTCCTGGGCTTTCAACCTTGTAGATTCTGGATTTGGGGAGGTCCTCACTGCCCAGAGCACAGATCTGTCCCAGCTGCCATCCCTCTGAGATTGTCTGTCCCCCTGACCTGAGAGGTTCCTCTGGGAACTGAGCAGTGGCACTTGGAGATTTAACAAAATAAGGTATCTGCTTTCTTGTTCTTAGAATCTAGGCCTTGTGGCTTGGCGCCTGTAGCGCAGTGGTTAGGGTGTAAGCCACATACATTGGGGCTGGTGGGTTTGAACCTGGCCTGGGCCTGCTAAACAAACAAAAAAATAGCTGGGCGTTGTGGTGGGCGGCCGTAGTCCCAGCTACTTGGGAGGCTGAGGCGAGAGAATTGCTTAAGCCCAAGATTTAAGGTTGCTGTGAACTATGACACCATGGCACTTTACCATGAGTGACATAGTAAGACTCTAAAACAAAAAAAAAAAAATAGACTCTAGGCCTTGGACAGATGGCCCATATTTTAACTCCTTGTTAGAGGCATTTCTAACTCAAGTTCTGCGGGCTACATAAAGATAACTTAAATTTTTAGGAAGGGATGTAGATGAGGTGAGGTTTGGGGTGGGGTTTGAGGCCCGAGTATAGAGGCTCTGGAGACCTGGATGAGACTGCAGAGCCTCTAACATCCCCCAGGGTGTACTGGGCTGACCCCAGGTGGGGTCTGGGGTAGAGACTGCTGTTCTGCACGTGGAGTGGCCTCATCTCCTTGTCCCTCTTTTCCAGGGCTCGTCTGTATGTCAAGTGACTGCCATCGGTGTCACCGTGATACTGCTTTACACGTCTCGGGCCTGCTACAACCTGTTCATCTTATCCTTCTCTCAGAGCAAGAACGTTCATTCCTTTGATTACGACTGGTACAATGTGTCAGACCAGGTCAGTGGGGCACCGAGCAGGCGTTACCAGACAGGGTGACAAGAGTCCCTCAGTGTCCTCTGGGCATTGGTTCCAGGACCCCCCAGACACAGCATCTGCAGATGCTCAAACCCCTCAGATTAATGCAGTATTTGTGCATCGCCTGTGTACATCGTCCCGTGTCCTTTAAGTCATTTCTAGATCACCTGCAATACCTAGTACAACGTAATTGCTATGTAAATACTTGCTATGCGGAATTTTTTAATTTGTATCAGTTTTTATTTGTTGTATTGCTTTTTTCCAAATATTTCTGGTCCACAGTTGGTGGAGTCTGTGCTTCAGTACCCTGGGGTGTGGAGGGCTGAGTGTCACTGCCTTCAGCTTTCCACAGGGTAGATCCACTCCTTGTTTCTGCTGCTAAATAGCTGGGTGATCTTTAGAGTCACTTGTCCTTGTGATGTTTGTATCCTTCTCTGTTAAATGGGATCACAGCACCTGCCTTGTTCCTGTTCAGGTGTCTCTGAGAAAACTGGGAGGTGATATCTAAGCATGTGTGCACACACATGTATGCACCACCCACACACGTGTGCACCCCACACACGCACATACACTTCTTTCTACCTCTTGGGGCTCTTGTCAAGCAGTACTTGAATTTTTTAAAAATGCTTCCATGATTAAAGAGTGACATTTACAGAGATTAACCAAATTGCATCTAGGTTTTAGAAAATACATACAAGTATGAAGTTACCAGAATTTTTCTTTTTTTTTTGAACCCACCACCTCTGGCATATGGGGCTGGCACCATACTCCTTGAGCCACAGGCGCTGCCCAAAGTTACCAGAATTTTTTAAATGGTGCCATGTACACAGCATTTGAGAAAATCTAGACATAAGTGAATATGGTTATTAAGGCTTTAGTAAAAACTCAGTTGTACCAGTGATCTCAATGTGGTAACTCTTTTTAAAAAATACTTTATATACAGGGCTCGGCACCTGTAGCACAGTGGTTGAGGTGCTGGCCACATGCACCGAGGGTGACGGGTTTGAACCTGGCCTGGGCCTGCTAACAAACAATAATGACAACTGCAACAACAACAA